ATATGCAGGGTGGGGGTGGCAGACCCTGGGGGGCACCGGGTCTGTGGGGAGGGGGCTGTGGGGCAGGAGAGCCACAGGGGATCAGCCTCCCCACGCTCCTCCCTTGCCCCCAGGGCAAGACCGGGGGTACCCCCACCCTCACCCCCCCAACTCACCAAAGGCCTTTTTGGGCTGCACCAGGCGGAGGGTAAAGGGCTGAGCCCGGGGCAGCTCCCGCAGCATCCGGGCCACCTCGTAGTGCCGGCAGCCCACGATGGTGTGATCGTTGATGGCCTCGATGCTGTCGCCCACACACACCGTCTGGATGCGGTTGATGATGCTCCCCTCCTTGATTCTCTAGGGAGGGGGGCAGGGGTGGAACGCACAAGGCCAAGGTGGCACCACGGGAAGGACAGACAGAAGTAGCCCCCACCCCACCTCACACCTAAAACACCTCCATGGTCCCATGTCCTTTAGAACCAGGTCTGGCAGGGACAGTCTCCCCCCAAACTACACAATAGCGGGGTCAGGGTGGACCCAGGGGAGGGCTGATGGGGAGGGAGGAGGGGGCGTCAGGGAAGAAGGAGCATGCCAGGGATGGGGTGCCAGCAGGGGATGTCACCCTGTGGTGCCACAGCTCCCACGGCTGCCCCCCGCCCCACTGTGACCCTATCGTGGCGGGGGGGAGAGAGGGAGTTCACCTTGATGAAAGCGTAGCCGGCCCCGTTGTCTGTGATGGTGAGGCCAAGTGCATCCTCCGTCTTTGTCACCTCCACCTCCTTCGTCTCACCCCGGACGTGGGCGAAGATGAAGTCCTCCAGGCCGATCTGCCCCCCCAGCAGCTTCTGCATGTCTACTTTGTGTGTGTTGAGCGTGCAAAAGAGGATCTGCCCCGGGGAACCCCGTCATTCAGGGGCTGGGGGTGCCCTGGCAGAGCAGAGGGGCTGTGCCAGGGCAGGTGCCAGCCATGAGCAGAGCCGGCCAGAGGGGTCCAGGGACACCCAGCGCTGCACTGTCCCTGTGTGCCCATCCCTCCACTCTGGGCTACGCGGCTGCTGGGATCAGCCAGGGAATAGGCAGCCCCAGCTCCCTGCCTGCATGCCAGGGGGGAAATCGAGGCACAGAGCTACCCAACCGCTCCCTAGAGGAGATGACAGCAGCCCCGAGATTAAAAAGCTCTTTTCCAGGTCATTTTGGGGGCCGCATTTG